ACTGGACGTCAAAGTTAAGGCAGTAACAAGGGATGAAGAAGAGCATTATATAATAATTACAAGTTCTATCCATCAGGAAGAGCTAACAATTATAAATGTCTATGCACCGAATATGGAAGCACCTAAATACATAAAGCAATTAATCACAAACAGGAACAATTTTACGGATAAGATTGTGCTAATAGCAGGGGACTTTAATACTCCACTTACAGCAATGGATAGATCAACTAGACAGAAATACACTAAAGTAACAATGGACTTGAATGACACATTGGACTAGGTGGAATTGACAAATATATTTAGAACTCTACATCCTGAAGCCATGGAATTCACTTTCTTCTCAAGTGCGCATGGCACCTTCTCCAAGATAGATCACATACTGGGACATAAAGCAGCGCTCAATAAATATAAAAGACTTGAGATTATACCATGCACACTTTCAGATCACAATGCTATGAAATTTGAAATCAACCACAGGAAAAAGTCTGGAAAACCTCCAAAAACATGGAGATTAAAGAACACCTTACTAAAGAAAGAATGGGCCAATCAGGCAATTTGAGAAGAAATTAAAAATATTTGGAAACAAATGAAAATGAAAATACAACAATTCAAACTCTATGGGATGTGGCAAAGACAGTCTTAGAGGAAAGTTCATTGCACTCCAGAGCTATTTCAAGAAATTAGAAAAAGCGCAAGTGCAAAATCTAACAGCTCACCTAAAGGAACTAGAGGGAGAGCAACAAGAGCACCCCAAGCCCAGTAGAAGAAGAGAAATAATAAAAATCAGGGCAGAAATAAACAATATAGAAACCGAAAAACACAGTTGAACAGATCAATGAAACCAAGAGTTGGTTTTTTGAAAAAATAAACAAAATTGACAAACCTCTAGCCAGGCTTCTCAAAAAGAAGAGAAAGCACTCAAATAGACAAAATCATTAATGAACATGGACTTATTACAACCAACCCCTCAGAAATACAAGAAATTATCAGGGAATACTATGAAAAATTATATGTTAACAAACTGGACAACTTAGAAGAAATGGACAAATTCTTAAACACACACTCACTACCAAAATTCACATGGGAAGAGATAGAAAATCTGAACAGACCCATAACTAGTGAAGAAATTGAATCTGTTATCAAAAATCTCCCAACAAATAAAAGCCCTGGACCAGATGGTTTCCCTGGGGAATTCTGCCAGACATTTAAAACAGAATTAATACCCATTCTTCTCAAGCTATTCCAAAAAATAGAAATCGAAGGAAAACTTCTGGACTAATTTTATGAAGCCAGCATCACTTTGATTCCCGAGCCAGACAGAGAACCGGCAAAAAAGGAGACCTACAGGCCAATACCCTTGATGAATATGGATGCAAACATCCTCAACAAGATACTTGTAAATCTAATGCAACAGCACATAAAAAGAATTATCCACCAAGATCAAGTGGGATTCATTCCTGGGTACCAGGACTGGTTCAGTATTCACAAATCAATCAGTGTGATACATCACATCAACAAAAGAAAAGATAAAAACCCATATTATCCTGTCTATAGATGCAGAAAACACATTTGACAAAATACAGCATCCCTTCTTAAAAAGGCCCTCGAGAAAATCAGGATAGAAGGAACTTACTTATCATCATAAAAGCCATCTATGAGAAGCCCTCAGCTAACATCATCCTCAATGGGGAAAAACTGAGAGCTTTCCCCCTGAGATCAGGAACACGACAGGGGTGTCCACTCTCACCACTGTTGTTTAATATAGTGCTGGAAGTCCTAGCATCAGCCATCAGACAAGAAAAGGAAATAAAACGCATCAGAATTGGCAAAGAAGTCAAACTTTCACTTTTTCCAGACGACATGATACTCTACATGGAAAACCCAACAGACTCCACCAGGAGCCTACTAGAACTGATTCATGAATTCAGCCAAGTTGCAGGGTACAAAATCATCGTACAGAAATTGGTTGCATTTTTATACACCAACAATGAAGCAACAGAAAGAGAAATCAAGAAACTGATCCCATTCACAATTGCACAAAAAACCATAAAATATCTAGGAATAAACCTAATCAAGGATATAAGAGATCTGTATGGTGAAAACTATAGAAAACTTATGAAGGAAATTGAAGAAGACACAAAAAATGGAAAAACATTCCATGCTCATGGATTGGAAGAATAAATATTGTTAAAATCATTACTACCGAAAGCAATCTACACGTTCAATGCAATCCCAACCAACACTGCACCAGCATACTTCTCAAAACTAGAACAAACTATCCTAAAATTTGTATGGAACCACAAAAGACCCCGAATAGTCAAAGTAATATTGAAGAAGAAAACCAAAATGGGAGGCATCACTATCCCAGACTTTAGCCTCTACTACAAAGCTGTCATCATCAAGACAGTATAGTATTGGCACAAAAACAGACACATAGACCAGTGGAATAGAATAGAGAACTCAGAATTGGACCCAAAAATGTATGGCCAACTAATCTTTGACAAAGCAGGAAAGAGTATTCAATGGAAAAAGACAGCCTCTTTAACAGATGGTGCTGGGAGAACTGGACAGCGACATGCAGAAGAATGAAACAAGATCATTTTCTCACACCATACACAAAAATAAACTCAAAATGGATAAAGGACCTGAATGTGAGAAAGGAACCATCAAAATCCTAGAGGAGAAAGCAGAAAACAACCTCCTTGACCTCAAGCACAGCAATTTCTTACTTGACACATCCCCAAAGGCAAGGGAATCAAGAGCAAAAATGAACTATTGGGACCTCATCAAGATAAAAAGCTTCTGCACAGCAAACAATTCATAAAACGAATTGGTAATTGATGGAATAGGAAAAGATAGTTGCAAACAACATATCAGATAAAGGGCTAGTATCCAAAACCTATAAGGAACTCACCAAACTCCACACCTGAACAACTAATAATCCAGTGAAGAAATGGGCAGAAGATATGAACAGACACTTCTCCAAAGAGGACATCCAGATGGCCAACAGACACATGAAACGATGCTCAGCATCCCTCCTCATCAGGGAAATACAAATCAAAACCACACTGAGATGCCACCTCACGCCAGTCAGAGTGGCTAAAATGAGCAAATCAGAGAACTCTAGATGCTGGCGAGGATGTGGAGAAACGGGCACCCTCCTACACTGCTGGTGGGAATGTAAACTGGTGCAGCCCCTCTGGAAAACTGTGGAGGTTCCTCAGAAAATTAACAATAGAACTCCCCTATGACCTAGCAATAGCACTGCTAGGAATTTCCCTAAGGGATACAGGAGTGCTGAAGCATAGGGGCACATGAACCCCAATGTTCACAGCAGCACTCTCAACAGTAACCAAAACATGGAAAGAGCCTAAGTGTCCATCAACGGACGAAGGATCAAGAAGATGTGGTTTATCTATACCATGGAATACTACATGGCAATGAGAAAGAATGAAATCTGGCCATGTGTAGCAACATGGATGGACCTTGAGGGTGTTATGCTGAGCAAAATAAGTTAGGCAGAAAGGGACGGATACCACGTGTTTGCATGTATAAGAGGATTAGGAGGAACTTATCGGAGCTCCATGGGGGAGGAGAAGGTGAAAAATATTTGGGAGAGGGAGGGAGGCAAACCATGAGAGACTCTTGAAGGCTGACAACAAAATGAGGGCTAACGGTGGGGAGAAGATTAGAGTTATAACGGGCATAGAGGGCACTTGTTGGGATGCACACTGGGTGTTATATGGAAACCAACTTGACAATAAACTATTAAAAAATAAACAAAAAACCAATAATTAAAGATGAATGCAAGGTGCAACAAGGTACATATCATATGATACCATTTTTATAAAGTGATAAACATGTAGAATAATTTTATAATGTTTAGGGGTATGTATCTATACAGTAAAAACCATATTTGGGAGAGTGGTTCCATCAATGAGGAATGGAGGAAATGGTAGAGAAGCATGTGATAAGGCAGAGCATATAAAAGATTTCAATTATATGTTGAATATTTTATATCTTAACCTTGCTGATGAGTACACAAGTTTTCATATTTGTATTTTGAATATGTGAACTATATTCTTAGCAAAGAAAACCAAACAACAGAAACTAAACACATTTTTAAAAACCTATGAAAGGAACTTATAATATATACATCAGTCCCTTAGAAGTTTGTCTAATATTAATCCATTCCCCCAAAGTTTCTATTTCAGCAAAACTGAGGACAAGATCCTAGAAGACAACTCCAACACCAACACCAACAGCTTCTTCTGTGTAGTTCTAGATACTTTTTCTGTCTGGCCAAACCTCAAATATGTGAATGGTCCATTAGGATGAGCAAAAATAAATGTTTAATTTTTAGAGTGTGAAGAAAAATTAGCAGTAAGTTGCTAGAAGATTCTGAAGAGTAAATTCTCCAAAGAGAAAGTCCTAGTGACTTCAGTTTAGGAAACTGAGTGGGTTTCAGTTCAATCTTCCTTAGAGATCATCTTTTTCTAATAATATTAAGTTTTTGAAGACATTTTATTACTTTATTTTTTTAATGTGAGAGGGAGAGAGAATGGGAGAGGACAGGAGAGATGGGGACAGAGGATCTAAAGCAGGCTCTGTGCTGACAGCAGCAAGCCTGATGTGGGGCTCAAACTCATGTTTCGTGAGATCATAATCTCAGGCAAAGTCAGACACTCAACCGACTGAGCCACCCAGGTACTCCTGGAAATATTTGAAATACATATAACACTTTAAAATCTAGATATTATATTATTAATAGCCCTGAATGCTTTATAAAGTTTTCCATGTTTGAATTTTTCAATTGACTGTTTTGTGAATTCAACTCTCACTGACATTATCTCCTGGTAGAATGGATACTTCTATTGTCCCCACTAAAACCCTATGGGATTCATAACACTTTCAGTAAGTAAAAAAATTGCCTCAGCCGCTCTAGAATTAAACAGTTAATTAATATAACTAATCCAATAGAATCTAATTGATAGTCTTACCATTGAGAGTGCTTCTGTCAATCAAATTAGTATCAACTGGCCAATAACCTCCATCTCCATGACGACCTATTTATTGGGAAAACACAAGCATGTTAGTGGATAGACAGCATGAAAACATAATGAAACAGACAAAAATGAATATTTTAAAACACCCAAACAATTGAACAAGGTATTTTGGCTACTTCAAAGAAAGTCTGACACTATTAATACCATTATACTTTGTGAGAAAATGTTATTTTCTATGGGTCAGAAAAATCTGTCATGAAAATAGACTCTTTATTACAAGCTAAATTCAATTATTCTCTGAAAAGTTGTTCCCCCTTTTCTTTCTTTTTTTCTTCCAATCTTCTTGTAAAAGTGTCTCCAGAAGGTATAGCAGTGGTTTGAGTCTCAATGTAACATCTCAGAACAGAAAGGGTGCTTGCTGGTCATGGCTCCTAGAGAGGCAGACCCCACCTCTTTCATGGTTCAAGAGGTCCATCCATCTGACTTGACTTTGTGGCAAATTATCATTGTTACTCTGCAAGGGGACTGAGTGTTTTGTCTTATAACTGGGTTTTGAGTAGTCCTTGTGGTTTGTGCAAGACAGGTGTCTGGGAACGAGATACTAGAAAGAGGGTAAAGAATGGGGTGATGACACAACACATATTCCTATTCTGATTTTTTCTTAGAAACACAGCAAGGTAGAAAGAAGGCTTCTTTAACATCACATTATTGCAAACACTGCTTTCCAGTAGGGGTGCAACAGTTGTAAAAGCAGTAGTGAAGAGAATTGAAATAATCAGAATTGTGCTATCATCTGAATTTCATGAATGATATTTCACCACAGGTAATACCTTTGTCTATTGGTACATTTGTAGGACTGTAATTAGTTTTTATAGGTTTTGAATTCTCGAATGTCTATTAGGTAGACAATTTATAGGAAGACATTCGGGAGTTAAATTGATATGTGAGCACATAGGAGAATACAGCTAATATTCCATTTATTCACTTCAGAGAGTTATTTCTGAAAGCAGTTATAATCAGTGGGTGATTTAGAGGAAGCCAACTGAGGTAGTTGGCTACAATAACATAGGATGTTTTCTCACATTGCTTAGAGTTTATTTCTCTTCTTTCAAGTCCTGCTCTTGTGACATTCTTTGGCATCCTAGACAATCATCTTGCTAAAGCTTTCCCAAGATCCCATCATTTTATTTGCAAAACATTTGTGAGCAAACAACCCAAATCTTGTTAACAGACTATACATTCAGAATTTTAAAAATTTTTTTCATATCAAGTTGGAACTGAAGTTAGGATGTCAAGCTTCCAACAAACAATGCATAAATTAATCCAATCACATCATATTCTGTTTTCAGCATAAGTTGGTAAATATAAAATCTGCTGACCAGTGACTGTGTTCTCCTGTAAGAGTAGGCAGGAGAGAAGCAAATGAAATAAGCAGCCATTGAACATTTTGGTTGGCTGACTAAAATGTTCACAAGCCTTTCCCCAAACACCTTGCTTGTGTGAATGACACATTTGGGGTTTCAATAAGTAGAGGATAAACTTTGCCCATGGGACATTGTAAGATCAATGTTGGAAGAAATGAAGTGAGACGGAAGTTCTGTATGAATATTAAGATAGCTTTTCTCACATCTGAAAGCAACTAGATTGCAAAGCAATCAGCCAAAAGAGATGCTAACAGTCCCATCACTTAGGCCAGTAAAGCAATAAATGATTCCTGGTGGGAGTAATCCTGTACTGGCTGGAAATTAGGTAAATAGTCTGTGGAGGATTTTCTTTTTCCTTTAGCATCCTGACAAATGTCTTTTTAATGAAGTTTCTCAGCCTCCCAGCTAGTTTGTGGGAAGATGCAAAAACAAGCCCACAAGCACATCCATATATTACTCAGACACAAAGCTCTATGGGTATAGCACTTCTTGGATTTAGTGAAGCTATTGATTACATTGTGAATTTCAATAGGTAGGAGAAAATCAGATGTCCTAATGGTTAGGCTCCATGTCAGTTAAAGGAATTCTGGACCTGCTTTCGAAATAAGAGAGGGCAGCTTAAAACTTGAGCATTCTATCCACACAATCTAGTATATTGACATTGCTTAACTTTTTGTTGGTTATAATTAGATTGATACCAGAAAAGAAAATTAAGTAACTCTTAACAAACCCAACAGAAAGTACTTTAAAGGAACTTGATATCATCAACAAGCAAGATTGGATTTATGGTAATTTAGAGTCTTGGAACCGCTTCACTAAGGAAACACAAAATGCATTTCTGGGATACTGGTAAGTCCGGGGATTTCTTCATCTAAAGATGTGAGAATTGGGGCGCCTGGGTGGCTCAGTCAGTTAAGTGTTCGACTTCAGCTCAGGTCATGATCTCACAGTTTGTGGGTTCGAGCCCGGTGTCAGGCTCGGTGCTGACAGCTAGGTCAGAGCCTGGAGCCTGTTTCAGATTCTGTATCTCCCTCTCTCTCTCTGACCCTCCCCTGCTCACACTGTCTCTCTCTCTTTCAGAAATTAAAAAAAAAGTATACAACTTAAAAAAATATAAAGACATGAAAATCAAATTTTAGCTTTGTGTGTGGGTATGTTTCTACATTCTAAAATATGTCTTTCAACTTCCAGAAAGCTTTCCTTTATGGATAAATAATAATCTAAAACAAAATATTCTCCCACTGCTTTAAGGCAAGAACCACAAAGTTGTCAAATGAGAGGACACTGAAGACCAAAGAGGACTCTGAGTGCTATTGCTTGCACGTCAAAGCATTTTTAAGGGCTCTTTGATGTGGATCAAATATTAAATGTGTTTATTAACTTTGCTAATATAATAGGAACTGATCTAGGGAAACAGAACAGATGAACGGGATTCTGCAAGATGGAAAGTCAGTTGACGCAAAAGTATAAATTACTGTCTGATCCCAGAGGTCTTAGTTTTATTAACAGAGCATAAAACTGGTAACAGTTTGCTCAGAATTTATTAGAGGCCTACTAAATGTAAGACACAGTCCTAGATCCTTGAGGATATGGTAATATAAAAATATGTATTAGGTAAGGATCTGGCCATGACAGATCAAGTTGGTTCACTGTATTCAGATCCTAGATAGTATCTAAAAACTAACGGCAGGTGGTTTTTAATTTTTACTGGATTTAAAGATTTAAGAATAAATTACCCCATCTTTTACTATAAAATGGTACTAGGTTTAATTAATAATGTTTTTTTTATTTGTTTAATATTATTAAAAGAACTATATGCAAATGAAAATAATGTGTTATTTTTAGTCTTATGTGTTCTGTAGTTATATTTATCATAAAAGTCCTGAATATTTTTTCATACTGCACTAAATCGCTAACATTTCTCAAAATTAAAAATTTCAAATAAGTAAATAAATACATGAAATTTAAATATAACATTTGTAGAAATAATGTTAATAAATTTCAACATATATTAGCTTTTTGTATTCAAATGAAGGAAATATTAAATTCTACAGAATCTAAAGAATTCTTGTGTGACTCTGTACCCATATTTTCTTTGTAATAGAAATGAGGGGGAGAAAAGGAATTGAGATGCTGAGCAGTAGTGAATTTATATACCATTTAACCAAGTAGGCATTTTATCCAGATAATTGCATCCAAAAATTACTTCTTCAAAATTTTTGATAATTATAACAAATGTTCTATTTTTCCTTAGGTTTTGAAACCAAGAAATGGTGCTTTCAGAAAGAACAATAAAACAAAAGAAATGAGCTCATGGTTAACTTTAAAGAGAGGAAGTGTATGACTATTTTAGAATTATTCAAAATTATTTATATATTTTAAAATTTATTTTATTTAGGTAGCTATTAGATAGGTCCATGCCAGAAATTTCTTATTCCTCCCTTTGATTTGCATTTTCACAATATGATGAGCTATAAAGTCATTTAAAGATTAAACTTTTATATATTTTAATGTTTATTTATTTTTGACAGAGACAGAGAAAGAGAGAGAGTGTGTATGTAAGCAGGGGAGAGGCAGAGAGAGAGGGAGACCCAGACTCTGAAGCAGTCCCCAGGTTCTGAGCTGTTAGTACAGAGCTAGATGCATGGCTCAAACTTATGAACCACAAGATCATGACCTGAGCCGAAGTCAAATGCTCAGCTGATTGAGCCACCCAGGCACCCCAAGAGTAAACTTCTATATTTTATTTAAAGGATATTTCTCTCTCTCTCTTTCTTTCTCACTCTCTCTCTTTTGCAAGAAACATATGTTTCCTTGCATGAAAGTTAAAGTCTTCATTATTTTCTTGTCGTTTGCTCTCTGGATTGAGGGGGAAAGTGTGTAGAGGCAATATGACTTCCTGTAGGAAGTGTGCTTATGGTTACACATCTTGGTGCTTACTAAAGTGACATATAGACTGTGTTCTCAATGCCTGATGAGTGACTAATGTAACTTAGAATGCTCAGTGATGTATTATTAATGTGAAAAAGTTAACTTATTATTATACAAGTTATTTTCTATGTTCTTGTTCTTACATAGCACTTAAAATATTACTTTTATATTTTTATTGTAGTGTCTGTGTGTGTGTGTGTGTGTGTGCATGCAAGCAAGATGAAACATTAATGTTCTCACATTAAGTCCCTACTTTTAGCAGACATGGATAGATGGAAGATATTTCCCATGATAAAATATTTTTCTCAGCCCCTACCAAAGATTAATTCAATTAGGATTTTTAGAGTCTGTTTTTTTCAGAGTAGATGTTTACAAGTTTTGGGAGGAGTTAATGGAAAATTAATCTGCAGAGGACATAGGGAAAACTGGATGTGGTGGTTCTGATCTATTCTTTAATCTATCTTCCCTGAGTGAGGATAACAGAGGGTCCTCCAGAATGGTACCCACACAATCAATCTGAAGAAAAACATATGACCCATAATCTAAATCGAATGAACAGATTGGTCATTTAACAAAAGCTTATTACACAACCTCCCGAAGATGCAGAGCACTCAGGTATCTTCTTGATCTTAGAATTGGCTTTCTGAAAATAATTCTGGTGATAATGATGGAAATTGAATTGATTTTGTGTCTTGTATACCAGAG